TCATCTCAGCTGGACACCGTATTTGGTGTTCCGCCAAGACAAGGAAAACACATAGTGGGGCCGAAGAAAGGTGACATCGCGAAGGGGCGTGGTTGATACCTCATCTTAGCTAGATGTGTATTCGGTGGTCTGTTGAGACAAGGATCATGCCACCTGCACGCCAAGACCTGTACGCCATGAAGAGTGTACCTCGTCTCAGCTAGACACCATATTCGGTGGTCCGCCAAGACAAGGAAACAATATCACAGTGCCGAAGAGGTGACATCATGGAGGGGCATGGTTAATGCCTCATTGTTTAGCTCCGTCCAGACCCGATCACGTCGTACGAAGATGAAGGGCTTGGTGTAGACAAGCTCTGGCGGTGTCGATGTAGTCTCCTAGTCGGGTGGTGTCGCTTCCATTGCACCTGGTACGAAAAGGGCGCCCTATCGTCCTCGGTCATCTTCATTGGGTACGTCGACTGCCATCTTCATTGCACTTAGTACGAGAAGAGCACTGTGTCGTCCTCGGCCATCTGTGCTGGATGTGTTGTCCGCCATCTCCATTGCATCTGTACATGAAAAATAATATGTAAGTACCGTAGGGAAAGAAGAGGACGTCCATGTGATGCCCACATATATGGACATCTTGAAGGTCTTCATGGTTGTTAACAGACTCAACGGTGTGGGCGGTGTCGCGGCCTCCATGGCCTTCGACTGTGTTGTCGTTGCCAGTCGGCGCAGCTTCGAGCCCAACCGAGCTGCCGTTGCCCGTCGGCACATCCTCTGGTCGGTCTTCTCATGTGTGTATGTGCATCTTCTTGACTCATGAGCAAGGCCGTCGTACGCGTGGCTCTCCTTCCTTTGCATGCCTAAGTTCTCCCGTACAAGAGATGTGCCCTGCTACGTGTTGGTTATGGTCTGGTGAGTTGTCTGCCTCCTCTATATATAGGTAGAAGGGGTTGGGTGTTCGACAAGGCACGGCGCCACTGGATCTTCTTATTCCTTTTAATCATCTTCTTGTAGCGCTGCGCAATGCAAAGGAAACACCATACGTATGTATGGAAGATCGGATGTACGAGCGTCTTGAAAGAAATCACGGTAGATATACTTCCTTATAAATGGACTTGTCTCTGGTGCTTCTAGACGTGTGAGGTTGTCGGCAGGTGCAAGTATACGGATACGTCCCAGCTGCTGTATATAGCCGAGGTTGTGCGATACTTTAGTACTCCACCTAGTCGACTCATTGCATGAACATGAAGATCTTTCACGTATCTTGTACATGTATGACACTTATTTTCATTCTCTTTCTCTTCAAGGGTAATGCACGTATTTGGGCACGTACACGTGTGACCTTGTCGGCCAGCCGAGATACCCGAATACGTGTACATGATGTATACATGTACTGTCTAGGCCAAGCTTGCCACGTGCATGCAAAACTTCTCCTTTTTTAACAAGCATGCATAAGATGTACATGTGACAATAAGCCAGGTCTCACATATATTACCTGCATCAAAACTCATAAAAAATTGTTTTTATGCAAAAATGCACAAAAACTTCTCAAATAGCAAGGTTGATGTAGAGGCCCTCCATGATCGATTCCTCCTCCGGCAGAGTGCCGGAAAATGCCTCCAGATGGGATCTCGCAAGAACAGAAGCTTGCAGCAGCGGAAAATGTATTTTTTGGGTGGCTCTCTGTTGGTTTCCTGATTTTAGAGAATTTCTAGAGATGGAATTAGGTCAAAAGGAGGAACGAGGGGCCCACAGGCCACATGGGCGTGCCTACCGCCCTGGGCGCGCCCATGTGCCTTGTTGCCTACTCCTTCGCCTTCTGACCTCTTCCCAAAGCATCCAGGGTCTCTTATGTTCAGAAAAAAATTGTCAAAAAGTTTCATGGCATTTGGAATTTGTTTGGTACTAATTTCCTAAAGAACCAAAAGCAGGCAAAAAACAGCAACTGGCACTTGGCACTAAGTTAATAGGTTAGTCCCAAAAAATGATATAATATTGCATATAATTGCATATAAAACATCCAAGATTGATACTATAATAGCATGGAATAATCAGAAATTATAGATACGTTGGAGACGTATCGAGCACCCCCAAGCTTAATTCTTCCTCGTCCTCCAGTAGGTAAATGATAAAAACAGAATTTTTGATGTGGAATGCTACCTAACATGTTCATCATGTAATCTTTCTTTTATGGCATGAATATTTAGATCCGAATGATTCAAAACAATAGTCTATAATTTGACATAAAGACATGAATACTCAAGCATACCAATGAACAATCATGCCTTTCGAAATACCAGTGCTAAAGAACGTCATCCCTACAAAATCATATAGCTTTGTCATGCTCCATCTTCTTAACACAGAGTATAAAACATGCACCCCGGTGTTAGCCAAGAAATTGGTTCATACTTTTTAACGCACTTCAACTTTTTCACCCCTCATGCAATACATGAGTGCAAGCCATGGATATAGCACTATGAGTGGAATAGAATACGGTGATAGAGATTAATACGGAGAAGACAAAAAAGAAGAAAGTCTCACATCGACGAGGCTAATCAATGGGCTATGGAGATGCCCATCAATTGATGTCAATGTAAGGAGTAGGGATTGCCATGCAACAGATGCACTAAGATCTATAAGTGTATGAAAGCTCAAAAAGAAAACTAAATAGGTGTGCATCCAATTTGCTTGCTCATGAAGACCTCGACATTTGAAGAAGCCCATTATTGGAAGATACAAGCCAAATTTATAATGAAAAATTCCGACTAGCTATATTAAAGTGAAAGCATAGGAGACTCTCTATATGAAAAACATGGTGCTACTATGAAGCACAAGTGTGGAAAAAGGATAGTAGCATTGCCCATTCTCTCTTTTTCTCTCATTTTTTGTTGGGATCTTTTTTACCTCTCTATTTATTTTTATTTTTTATTTCCTCACATGGGACAATGTTCTAATAATGAATAATGATGAGCATCACACATGTATTTACTTACAACTCAAAATTACAACTCGATACTAGAACAAAATATGACACTATATGAATGCCTCTAGTGGTGTACCAGGATGTGCAATGATCTAGCATAACATGTATTAAAATGATGAATAGCGGCTGAGCCAGAAATACTATGTCAGCTATATGATCATGCAAAGCAATATGACAACGATGATGCGTGTCATAAAAAAAGGAACGATGGAAGTTGCATGACAATATATCTCGAAATGACTATGGAAATGCCATAATAGGTAGGTATGGTGACTGTTTTGAGGAAGATATAAGGAGATTTATGTATGATAAAGCATATCATATCATGGGGTTTGAATGCACCGGTGAAGTTTGCACCACATCTCGAGATGAGAAAGGACAATGCACGGTACCCGAGAGGCTAGCAAATGGTAGAAATGTGAGATTGCATATAATTCATGGACTCACATTAGTCATAGAGAACTCACATACTTATGGCAAAAGTTTATTATCCCTCTAATCAAGGTACTACTACGCGTGCTCCTAGGGGGAGGTTGATAGGAGTTAACCATCGCGCGCCCCGACCTTCACACAAAGAAACACACTCAATAATAAATCATGCTCCAACTTCTTAGCATAATGAGAGACTATACGTGTATGCTTTGGAAATCACAAACCTTAACACAAATATTCTTACTAAACCACAATCATTAACTAGTACCTCCCACATATTACCATCTTTATATCACAAAACTATTGCAGGGAATCAAACTTATCATATTCAGTGATCTACATGAAAGTTTTTTATTATACCCTCTTGAATACCTATCATATCAGGACTAATTTCATAACTTGTACATATTGCCATTACTATTATCAACTCTCAAAATGATATATATGAAGCATGAGAGTGCAACTATTTTCTTAAAATATAACCACCGCCGTACTCTAAAAGATATAAGTGAAGTACTAAAGCAATTGCCTAACTCAAAAGATATAAGTGAAGCATAAAGAGTATTCTAACAAATCATGAATAATGTGTGTCTCTCTCCAAAAGGTGTGTCCAGCAAAGATGATTGTGGCAAACTAAAGATTAAACAAAGCAAAGACTCATATAATACACGACACTCCAAGCAAAACTCATATCATGTGATGAATAAAAATATAACTCCAAGTAATTTATCGATGGTTGGTAGAAAAAGAGGGGATGCCATCCGGGGCATCCCAAGCTTAGATGCTTGGGTCTCCTTGAATATTACCTTGGGGTACCTCAGGCATCCTCAAGCTTAGGCGCTTGTCACTCCTTATTCCTTCATCCATCACGATCTCACTCAAAACTTGAAAACTTCACCACACAAAACTCAAGAGAAAACTCGTGATATCCGTTAGTATAACAAGCAAATCACCACTTTAGGTACTGTTGTAAACACATTCATATTTTATTATTGCATAACACCTACTGTATTCTAACTTCACCATGATTTATACCCCCCGATACAAACCATTGATCCGTTAAAACAAGTAAACAATGTAACAAAAACAGAATTTGTTAAAAACAGAACAGTCTGTAATGATTCAAACAATGACCATACTTCTGTAACTCCATAACTCTACAAATTTTGAAAAATTAGGACAACATGAGCAATTTGTATATCAATCATGTATAAATTTTTTAGAAATTAATCACATTCCAGTGAACCTAAATAATTTTCTGTTCACGTGATCCCGTTTCAGCCCGCGCGCTGAACTATATATGCCACGCGCGTTGTTTTTACGCGTCCACTAAAGCCATAATACCAGTTGCGCGCCCTAAAACGAACAATTTTTTGGCGCGGCACTAGTTTGACGCGGTTGTCGGAGATGCTCTAAAGGATCGAGCAGGGCCGAGCATGCGGGCCGCGCGTGCCCGCATCAACGATTGGCAAGGTCGACCATATCCATCGACCACCATTGGATTGCTGTGCATAAGGATAGCCACGTGTCCTCTTCATTCCGTCCCTCTTTTTCCTCCTGTTGCCACCTCTCCCCTCCGCGTCGCATCCCGTCCAATGGCGGCGCCCGCGCTCCTCTCCGCACCGCCCCCTCCCCCACCAATGGAAGAGGATGGTCTCACCTCCCACGTCGCACCAAGCCCAACCACACCCCCACCCCCGTCAAAGCGCGGTTTCTTGCGTGGGCGGCCGCCCATCAGGGTGACATCGGAGTTCGACAGCGAGCGCCAGCTCTTTTCCCACCGCATCTCCTGCCGCGTCCTCAACGGCCTTGCCAAGCTCCGTTTCCGAGTTCACCACGGGGCCGCGGGAGGGGCCCCGACTCCCGAGGTGGCGCTCATGGGGCGGAACTTCTCCGCCGTCGTCGACACCGCCTCCCGCAGCGCCGTGCTGCGAGGAACGGCCGACCTTGCTGGATCGCTCCACCTTAGTGCGGCGCACAACACGAAGGTGCGATCTTTTCTTACCCACCGCTTTTCTATTGATTCTTCGCCTCTTCGGTGTGATGACGTTGTGAAGTGTGGTTGCTCAACTGAACTATCTCGGATGCATTTGAGCATACGGAAAGGCTGTTAAATATGTACGTTTGTGTAGTTCTGAGACTTGATATTGGATATGTAAGGGCATCTCCAACGCTGATCCTGACACTGCATCCGTCCGCAGACAGGAAACATCCAAACCTAGCGGCATACATCCACCCCAATTTTTTTTTAAAGTCCGCATACATCCGCACGCTCAAAGTAGCCGCATATCTGGTTTCAGTTTAGTTAAAACATGTTCAAATGTTGAAATGCAGGCAGCAGTTCAAATTTAAATATTACACTCCAACAATGTTGTCCCCTTTAACCGCCCTGCACCCACAGATGCTCAATTAGATCTTCCTTCATTTGCTCAATCAAATCTTCCACGAATCAGTGGCCGTGCCATATGCTAGCATCCGCAGTTGCGGACGTACACTTCTGGTAAACAGAGAACCCAATCCTTCTCGTGATATCCTCTTCCACTAATCAGTGGCCGTGCCATATGCTAGCATCCGCAGTTCGGCCGTGCACTTCTGGTAACCAGAGAACCCAATCCTTCTCACGATATCCTTCTTCAAGACGAAGAAGTCATCAAAGGCCCGGAAGCCATGGTAGAGAGGATCGAAGATATTTTTTCGCATCCGAAAGCGGCGGCGAAAATTGTCAGCGATTAGGACAATCGGGGCAAAGTAGTCATCCATCAGCTTCAAATGGCCCCCCACCATGTTGTGGTTGAGCACTCGATGACCTTTATCAATCCCTTGAAATTGAGAACATGCTCTTCCGCATGCTCCGCGTTTGCAAGGACCGCCTGCATCATCGCCGTCTCATCTGTGTAGTCCTCGTCGGACAAGCCGTCAAACGACTCAACATAGTGCTCGTATATGTAGTCCATATCCGAATCCATTGCTTCATAGAAGAAGGGACAAAAGAATTTAGCACGGGCATTTCACTGAACACTTGCTGGGCATGGTGAGTACCGTAGGGGCGGATGGTACCTATGCGACGGAGAGAGGAGAGGCGTGGAATGGCGGGGGAGGACAAGCAACGTGGAGCCCTGGCGTAGCGATGGAGGCGACGGAGTCGTCGAGTTCCGTCAAGGGTGTGTCGGGGCGGATGGGGTGGTGGAGCGGTGGCAAAGGCAAGAGAGAAAACGGATGCACAGAAAGATGGGAGGATGGAGGTGCGGGGTTCACGAGGGGTTTTGGGTGGACCGGGGGTGTCGGAGTCCTACGTGGCTGTTGTCCGGACTCACACAAAGCCCCCCAAGTTTCTTTTGGGTTTGCAGGAAAAAGCGCGCCCGGACTGGTCGGCGGACCGATACAGGCTCGTGTTGGATGGCTAAACATGTCCGGACCGCGCAGTTTGGACGGTTGTGGGTGGTTTGAGAATCCGCTTTGGAGATGCCTTAAATTTTAGAGGCATAAAATTGGACATGATGTAATGGAAGTGTTTTTTTACTTTGGGTAGTTAAAACAAAATCCATAATAACACCAAAACTACAATTCATGGAAGAGTGGACCAGGCAGACATACCAAAACCCTAGCCGCCGCCCCATCTACCCCCTCTCGCGTCACCGCCCGAGCACGTCGTCGGGCAAAGCCTGTCTGTTGCCATTGGCGGCGGGGAGGTCCTGCCTGCTTGTGGAGGAGTTGGAGGGCTGTTGCGGGATGGCGAAGTATATGTGTGCTCGAGTGGCGGTCTTCGTCAGGCGGTGCTCAACGATGGCGCTGGCAATCTAGCGTGGCGATCTTCGACAGTGACCGCTAGGTTACCGGAGAAGAGGGAGTCGATGCACGATCCTGGACATCGGCGAGCTCGACATTTGTCGCGCAACGGCATGGGTGATTTTTTTCCAGGTTTTCTTTAGGGAGTCATAGAGTTTGGTTTGGGGCAGCAAGAAGGCGGCACTGTTCCAGTGTAGGAATAATGTTCTGCCTGCTCATCCCCATTTTGTTGGTCTGCTTATCGCGGGGGGTGGGGGGGGGGATGTAACTCTGGCGGGTCTTTCGGGATCCGATCGGTTTAGGTTTGCGGTGGATCCATCTGGATTCGGCCGTCTTTCGTTGTCTTCGGAGTTTCTACAGGCCCTTATCGGCATTTTCTTCTCCGAGTGGCGATTTGCTTCGCAGATCGCGGCCGTCGGCGTCTCCTGGTTTGCATTGACGACTTCTCGGCCTTTGCTTCTACAAGCTCTTGGTTTTAAAAATAGTTTGCTCCGCCGAGGCGGAGGCCCATAGGTGGCATCGAGCTATGCTCATGGTGCGGCTCTGGGGGATGCAGGAGGAAGAAGACTTTGGCACCCCCAAGGATTTGATTATAATTTTGTTTTTTTGTTTGTATGTGTTTGTAAGGACATGTGATGCTTAAAATATGACCTTAGGCCCTTTCACAAAATAAGTTAGACGGAATCGAAGTTGAAGATGTCGGTTAAAAGTTCTGCTTCAGGGGTGATAGCCCATGTTTGACTTTGTGGTTAGACCAGCTAACATTGGCGCGCGAGCACCGCTTCCTTCTTGAAGGGGTTGTGTGGGAGTTTTGGCCCTTTGTTAAGTCACATGTCGCTTGAGCGGTGGATTATGGTTCAGGGTCATAAGGTTTGTGGCAGGATTATGGAGATCCTGCCGCGAGGCAGACCAATGTGGATAGCGGTTTTCTCTTTATTTTTTGTAAACTGATTTGTTTGATTTTAATGTTTCACTTTGCTTGGCATTGTTTTTAATAATATATAATATATGGATGTAGAGGCCTGGGGTTATCCTCCTCAATGAAAAAAGGGTAGATGAAATCAAGCGGGTTGTGTCAATGCGGTGAAAATTAGTGCTGAGGAGCTCTTGCCTTGGGTTAGCAAAATGATTGAATACTGGCTAGAAATTTTTCTAAGGTGTTGCATTAGTGGACTATTCATGTTCGGCTTAAAACTTATGTATTCATGCAGAATATACAGCTCAAGGGGAGAACAAAATCACATAGGAATAATGGTTTGAAAACGCTAGTATAGTTGTATGCTATCTTATATGCTGGAGGAGTTTCAATTAAGCGGTTGCTGAATTCTGTCCAAGCCGGCGCATATACTCTACATCGCCCCATGCTAAAAAGTATTGTGTTCACTGCATAGGATTTATAGGATGCGGAGTAGTTTAGCAACGAGAAGAGCTAATATGTAAATCCATGTCAATGGAACACATTTTATTGGCACTTTAAGGCCTCTTTTGGTTCATAGGATAGGATTATCATAGGAATAGGAATCTTGTAGGAAATGAGATGACATGTATCTCAAATCCTATGAGTAGGAATAGGAAACAAGATGTCATTTGGTTGACACCAAAGGAATTTTTCCATTGAGTCTAGGCTCTTTTTTATTTTCCTATGAAATGTGGAGGATAGGAACCAATCCTATGTAGGAATAGGAATCCATTCTTATGAACCAAAGGACTCTAAAGGAAAAAATCCTATAAGAATCCTGTCCTCTAGAATTCCTATGAAATTCCTCTAAACCAAAGGAGGCCTAATCTTTTTGAATTAGGTGGCATCCCATGATCTGTTGCTATCAAAATACCTACTTGTTATATAGTTTCTGCTGGCAATAGTTTTTTGTTAGGGCATCAATAATATGCATCATACCGATTCTGATATATGGCAGTAATGTGCGTCTACCTGAGACTGCCTTATGTTCCAGAATTACCAGAATGGAGAGCAATCTTACATTCATATTGGCTGTTCGACACACTGTTTGTCCATCTCTTGTGACCATGAATATGATGATTCCACTGTTTCCTGCATTCACATGGATAGATACTTCCAGTTGAAGTACAACAGTAGAAAGGTGCGTGCTCTGTACCTAGATGTGAGTTGTTGCAGTCGTCTCCCGTGTGTTTTCCTGTAATATTGTCTCTGAGAAGCTTTTGTAGGAAGCTGCAATGTAGTTTCTGAGTCTGATTTTCCTTCTCAACTTAAAAACTGTGAAGTTGTAAACCTTCCACTGTCCAAGGGTCGTAACCAGTGCAGATCATGTGCCGTAAGTGCTTTTCCATGGTGGCTGCCACACCATTACTTTACAATTTCAGTAGACACGTGGCATACGAGTTGAAACAGCTGTCTGCTAAAAGCACCGGCGAAAGAGAAAGAGGAGGAAGACGAAGAGATAACAAAAGCTGATGGGTGGGCTGCTCCAGCATGCATTTCTTGTTATGGAAGCAACATAAGCCATTGATATTATTAGAGCATCTCCAACGGTTCCTCACTAAATCATCCCTATAGTGTGTTATTGGAGCTACCCCAATAATACTTATCTAATTATTGTG